ATTACTTTAATATAATGAATTTTTATAATATAAGTATTTTTTATTATATAAGTATAGTTTATTTTAATATATTATTTTATTTAATTATAATAATGCATAATTTAGTCTGAATAAAATATTGTATTTAATCCAAACTTAATATATGGAACTAAGAGTCAAAATATTTATTCTGTAGACACTATAAAAATAATATAATTTATGACTCTCCTAATTTACATGTGAATATTCATGTGTATAATTTAATATTAAATGATGTCCAAAAATTAAATAAACAACTAAGAACTTGATAGCATGTGTTTAAAAGGGCAAAATGTTTAAAAGTTATGATTAAAAAATTACAAAAGATAATTTAATAGACTAAGAAGCATTTTAAAGATAAAAGTATGGCATTTAATGTAAAATATTGTCCAACTGTTTGCCACCCATTTGAATGAGGCTTTTGAGCCGTACACTAAACCTATTCACCGCACGGATTATCATATTGTTGGTCACACTATGGACTCGATTACGTAGACATTGAGTCATTTGTATGCAAATAATGTTTTGAAATCAATGAACATCATATGAATTGGTATATCATATGAAAATTGTTTTATGAATATTATGCAAAACAAAATCCCATAATTTTACTTTAATATAAATTTGATTTGATCCAGATATTTTTTGTAGCTTGTGAATAATTAATTTTAAACTTTTTGCTTACATTCTTGAACAGGCGTTATAAATATTGATTTATTATAATAATTTTAACCTTAATTTATTTTTAACAATAAAAATTCATGTTTTGATACACATCTTCATGATATGATATATTATACAGTACAATAATATACAATAATATTATATTATATCACATTGTATGTTTCTAATTTATTTTGTATTTACAAAATTTTATTTTAATTATGTGTTTGACTTGCAAACATTTTTCTTTTTATGTTGTTTGAAATAATTATTATTTCGATAATTTTAAAAAGTATTTTTCAAATAATAAAAAGCTTAGGGGCCATTCAATAAGTACGTACGCAAAAATTTGTCTAAAAATTGACCCCCCCTCCCCCGAAACGCCCCTCATACATAGGACTTTAACATTGTGTACGCA